ACAAGAAGATAAGATCTGAATATGAATAACTAACTGCCTATAACATCTACTTGTAGGGCTATACATAATAAAATGCAAATATTAAAATATGTTAGACAGGAATATCAAGAAGTTCGTGTTAAATTTATTATAATTAGATGCATTTTGCATTAGATCTGACTAACAGATTAGCTCACAGATACAAGCTTGATAATTTATAATGAAGTGAATGTTAGCTTTAACAACATTTAGGCAAGAATGTCGTTAACAGCTGTCTAAACTAATGACTAAGGCTTATTTTCAAGCGTATGTTAACTTTTGACTGAAACTTGAGCTAATGGGGTTTATAAGCTTCATATTTTTTTCTAAGTACGGGTAATATATTCCACGACCTGTGCTACATCAGATGATTATAAATTGCAGGGCACCGAGCTGCGAAAAACGTCGGGTAGCTGTTGCGGGGAATGCGTGCGCACCCATTGCCAGCACAACAATACCCTGTATGCGGTGGGCGAGTCCTGGCACAACGATGCCGACTGTATGCTACTCGAATGCGCTCGCCGGGACAATGGCGAAATTGCAATTAATAGCTACCAGCGCAGCTGTCCGCCAATCGACCCAAGTTGCCCGCCGGAACGTATCTATAGGAATAGCTGTTGCTTCGTTTGTCGGCCGTTGGCATCGCCGCGCATCGAGGAGCTGGCTAATACTGAGCAGACGCAAGATATCTGGACAGCCGAATGGTATCGCCAGCATCCATGCGTACGCGATTGCCAGGTGGATGCTGCGCCAATGACGTGCCACTATACATTTGTCGTCGAATGGTATCAGACCTTCTCGAAGGCCTGCTTCGACTGCCCGCTGAATCTGACAGACTGCTCGCGGCCGCACTGCATCATGGGCGATGGACTGGAGCGCAGCATAACCGTTGTCAATCGCATGATGCCCGGGCCAGCGATTGAGGTATGCGAGGGCGATCAAATTGTGGTCGATGTGAAGAACAATCTGCTGGGCGAGAGCACCACCATACACTGGCATGGACTGCATCAGAAGAAGACGCCCTATATGGATGGGGTGCCGCACATAACCCAGTGTCCCATTTCGCCGCATGCCACCTTCCGCTACAGTTTTCCGGCGGACAACCCGGGCACACATTTCTGGCACTCACACACGGGCATGCAGCGCGGCGATGGCGTCTTCGGGTCGCTTATTATACGCCGCCCCAAGAACTCGGAGCCTCATGGCGGCCTTTACGATTTTGATCTCAGCGAGCATGTGCTGGTTGTCCAGGATTGGATACACGATACGGGTGCCAGCATCTTTGCCTATCACCATCACTCACGCGGCGATAATAAGCCCCACAATATTCTCATCAATGGGCGTGGTCGTTATTATAATCGCATTTGGGCGGACATGAAGAGACAGCATCGCATGGCAGCAGAGGCGGTTCCCACGGAAGCCCCAAACGAAGCACTCAAAATGACCAAACTAACTCCAACGAACTTAAACTTAACGGCAGCATCGAGCAGGGATCCTGTGCAGCCAGGTAAGCGAATCAGTGTTTAATTTCCAACTATGCCTTGAAACCCTTTGGCATGTGCCCAAGACAGCTTTAAATTAGCTCTTAAATGAAGTTCTTCCTTTCCTCTCTATTTCCATATATACCACGTATGTTTTCTGAACAGAAGCTCCTCAGTAATCTATCTGCCAAACTTTATGACTCTAGCTCCCAGCTCGACCACAATTTCTGATGCGGGTTGCTATGCTCAGTCCGAGAATTGTTAACCCTTAAGTCAGTTTAAATTATGTTTTTGACAAAAAAAATTTGTTGATTAGACTGCTGCCGAATATCTGCCTAAAACGATTATCGATTATCCCATTACGGGTGCACCACAAATTCATATATCCTTTGCACTGCCACATATATTAGTTTGATCCCTCCTAACGGATACTCCTTTAAGGCGGGCACCCTTTTTATCCGGACTTTCTTATCTCAAGCCGCACTTTTGGCTGTCCGCCCAAGAGAGTATTGACTATAGTTTTTATACTATTAGCTTTATACTATTCATCTCTGTTTATTTTAGAGACAAGTACGAAAAGTCGGGCCGAGTATATTGCTTGCTCGGCCAGACTTGCTGACTCGATAAAAATTGACCTGTAGTTGGTCATAGTACACAATTATCTGACTGTTTTCAAATCTCGAAGACGTCTGCGTGCCGATTGTCGAGCTATCAGCTTTATGGCAGACCAATTTTTCCAACTATGTAGTGTCAGACTGTCTGAATTTAATTAAAGTGCACGGACAGACAAGCCAATATGGTCTTTCTACTTCGTTAACGGAGCATAAAATTCTTTATGCTAATCTTTTTCAAAAATATTTGGGTTAGCCTAATTTGGACGCTGCAAAGGACGGATTGATCTCAGCTAGCATTGCGAGCCCATTAAATATTTGTCAATTGTTCTGCTTAAGCTTAGCTTAATTCTTTCACTTCTTCCATTCCAAATCAATAAAATCAAAATAGCTTTCAAAAGCCCTTCAGCAGCACCAACGCCACCAAGTCTGGTCAAATTGCTGTCCAATGAAGCGCGACAGGTGCAGATGCAGAGCAACAGCAGCACAGCAAACGGCAGCGGGTCGATGCCCGATCCGGTTATCCATTCGCGTCAGCGGCGCGGCAATCTGCAAGAGATACCATTGGAGCAGATACCACATCAGGTATATCATGTGCGAAGGGGCTTTCGGTATCGTTTTCGCATCGTGAACGCCGAGTATCTGAACTGCCCGATTGAGGTATCTGTGGATAATCACACGCTGACTGCCATCAACTCGGATGGCTATGATATTGAGGCCATGGAAGTGGGCTCCATAGTGACCTATTCGGGAGAGCGTTTCGACTTTGTGCTGAATGCCAATCAGGAGGTGGGCAACTATTGGTTGCGTCTCAAGGGTCTCATGGACTGCAGCGAGAGATTCACTTCAGCCTTCCAGGTGGCCATATTAAGCTATGAAGGCGCTGCCGAAACTGAGCCCAGCGCTGAGCTGGGCTATGCACACAATGCCACGGGCATTCAGCTGAATGTGATGAATCGTGGTCCCGGCTATACGGATACCAAGACGGTGGCCGAGATGAGGGCATTGCCCATATACGACAAGGTCTCCGGCATTGATGATGACACACTGAAGCCAGAGGCAGACTATAAGTTTTTTGTGTACTACGATTTCTATCGCAAGGATAATCCGGAATTCCATTACAGCGACTACTACGGCATGGACACGAATGTGACCAAGGAGAATATATTGTATACGCCACAGCTGAATCACATTTCACTTAAGTTTCCCGCGGTGGCACTGCTGCCACAACGCCATCAGCTGACCGACGAGCTCTTCTGCAATGAGACAACACTCGCCCAGCAGGGCATCGACTGTCGGGAGCAGTTCTGCAAGTGCCATCATGTGCTGCAGGTGCCTTTGAATGCTGTCGTGGAGCTGATCATTGTGGACGAGGGCTTCACTTTCTATGCCAATCATCCGTTTCATTTGCATGGCAATGCGTTCCGTGTCGTTGGACTGGAGCGTCTTGGCGAGAATGTGACCATCGAAATGGTAAGTGGGCTTGAGAAGAGAACTCTTAAGTCTTCCTTGATAATATTCGTATTATCCCCATGCAGATCAAGCAGCTGGATCAGTTTAAGTTGCTCAAGCGCAACTTGATCAATCCTCCTGTCAAGGACACGGTCACAGTGCCCGATGGAGGTTATACGATCATACGCTTTGAGGCCTACAATCCCGGCTATTGGCTCTTCCACTGTCACATCGAATTCCATGCTGAAATCGGCATGGCCCTGGTTATAAAAGTGGGTGACGACGATAAAATGGTACCTGTGCCTCGTAATTTTCCCACCTGTGGTGATTATGTGCCCGATTCCCGTACGAATCTGGAAACATCGCCCCCAATTGATATTCCTGGCATCCCAACGACCTCAGCGCCACCCACGAGAGACACATCAGCCAGAAACCTGGCAACGGGTTTGCCATTTATTATCCTCATGTTAACAATGCTACAGTTGGTGAGCATGCGTTGAGCGCAGAGCCTAAAACCCAATGCTATCATGACACTTGTCCAGTTTTAAGTCAACTCTAATCGCAATTTCCGCTTAGGTTGTGTACGACATTTTCCCATAACTAAAGCCCTTTCACTAAGTTTGCTGTTAAATTTAACGATCACTTTAACATTGTCTTGAATTCAATAGGTTAATATATCTGCCTGTTAAAATATAACATTCAGTTTATCAACATGTTAGTGTTAAGTGTGGCTTGCACTTTGTGCAGGGCTGCTGTTAAATTAAGCAATCGCTTTAATTCAGCAAGAACAATTATCTGCCTGTTAAAATGTGACCTTCATTTTACCAACGTGTCACATTAGTGTTAGCGCGCTCTTTCAGTGTTGCCAGCTTGCAAAAATGATTGTAATAAGATGGATGCACATTTCAAACTTTCATTAACATGAAGCGTTGCCAACTTAAAATTTGAAAAAGTTTGTATCACTTCAAAAAGATTTAACCTTTTCTAAACCTATATAAAGTTTGATAGATATATGAAAAGGTTCTTTTTACTACCTTTATTCTACTCAGTAGGAATGGCTTTTCATATTCTCGGAGTATTTTCCAACCCCAGTATTCGTTTAATATGAAACTAGTGAAATACTCATATGAATGCCCCACCACAATTAGATTAAGTCAATTTTATTATTTTGAACGAAATCATGATTTTCTGTGGCTCAAAATTTAGCTAGTTTCATTTTATCAACATCTGTGATTGTCTAAAACGTTTCAGTAGCATTTAAGCGTATAAGAAAATGTTCAGCTTATGTAAATAAATTATGAAATTATTTAATTTAATTGAAATATATTTTTATATAAGTGTGAAACACGTCTAAAATGACTTTTCATATAGATCCTTAAAAATGAATTTGAGCGCGAAACGTCACCAACCAAATCTTTGACTCCCATTTCCACCAAGGAATCAATTTTTCAAGAAAAAAGCATATTCAAATAAATATTTTTAGACCTTATTGCGTTATTTGAGGTCCATGAATAGAAAAAAATGATACTAATACATCTAACCGAAAATTCGATAAATTCTACTAGAAAATTATCCAAAAAGAACAGATATTTAGAGAAAGAAGCGAGACTTTGGTTTGCAATAGTCCGGCAGTTATTGAGGAACTTAGAATTAACATCGCAACTTGCGAGAGTTTCGGAATCATGCGAATTCCCGCTCAAGAGTCTTAAGGAATTCACACTTATCCGATTGGAATTTAATTAATGTTTAGTTAAATTTAATTTACAATAATTATATAAATGAATTGTGATGCAACATTCATATTTATTGCATTATCCCATCAAGCACTCGTTCCAATTAGATTTTAGATTAATCGGTTTCTAAGGTGCACAACAGTATTAAACCTCGCCCTAAGTTCTGTTAATGGCTCTGATAAGAAATTGGCAAAAAGCCAACGAACCGGAGAGCAGTCTAATCTGAGTAGCAGCCAAAACAAAGCGCACATCTGGTCGGAGACCAATGCAGCTGACCTAAGGACCTAAACCTGAGACCCAAAGCAGGCTGACGGGCATTATCAGAATAATAGAAAAGAGAAGCCTATAAAAGACGCAGTGGGCCTGAACACTGTATCATAAGCAGCAAAGATGTACGACTGGACGGGCAAGAATGTGATGTACGCAGGTGGCTTCACCGGCATTGGATTCCAGCTGTTGCACCAGCTGATGCAGCGGCAGAAGCTTAAAATGCTTGGCATAGTGCATCGCATGGAGAATGTGGAGATGATGAAGAAGCTGCAGGCGGAAAATCCCAGTGTGAAGGTTATGTTCATGCAAGTCAACCTCATGGACAAAGTGTCCATTGAGCAGACTATGAAAAAAATGGGCCAAGCGATGGGCAACATTGATGTGCTCCTTAACTGCGAGGATGTGCTGCTGGACAAAGATGTAGAGACGACCATTGGCATCAATTTGGTAAGTTACAATAGGGATATGCTGTCGTCTCTCAACTCATCTCTCCAACTCACCCAACTGTCCAGATGGGCATGATTCACATGACCTTGAAGGCCATGCCCTATATGGACAAGACCCAAATGGGCCTGGGCGGCATGGTGGTGAACATGTCCTCCGTCTATGGCCTGGAGCCAGCGCCAGCTTTTGCTGTCTACGCAGCAGCCAAGCACGGCGTCATTGGCTTCACCCGTTCGATGGGCGACAAGCATATCTATCAGAAGACTGGCATCATGTTTATGGCCATGTGCCCGGGTCTAACCAACACTGAGATGATGATGAATCTGCGCGACAATGTCACCTGGGACCACTCCGAGTCCCTGGTGGATGCCATTGAGAGCGCCAAGCGTCAAATGCCCGAGGAGGTAGCTACCCAAATTATCAAGGCCATCGATATGATGAAGAATGGCAGCATGTGGATCGTGGACATGGGACAACTGAAGGAAGTTAATACGCCGATGCATTGGCAAATGTAAAGCGCACGTCAAAGACAAACAAATAAATAAATTCTTTGCCTGATTCACATACTTTTGACAACAAGGGGCCTTAAGTTCGAATTCCATACGTGGGTTTTTTGTTCCTTCGGGCTTGGGCGTCGAATTAATTTCAAGAAAAAGAAGATAGAACACGAAATACCCTAGACGATATGTGGCTTACTTTTTTTGCGAAAACGTGTGGAGAATTATGAAGCTCGGGAAAGTTGAGTTTGGTAGAGATATGTTTAAAAACAGAATATTTTGCCATACAAAACAAATTCTACGTTCGTTTCTTTTTATATTTCATTCCTATTGTAGCTACATGATATAGTGATCCGATGCCAATTAGATTCAGCATATGTTTGAGGAGCATAGTGAAACTCATATGTGCCAAAAGCACTTGATAAACAAAGTTTTCCAGACAAGAACCGACTTTGCGACCGATTTTTCCTATGACAGTCGGTTACTAGTTTGCAAAGAAACAGACGAACAGACGAACAGACGGACAGACATGTCTGAGCTCTTGCTGCTGGAATCACAGATTGTTAATGCCTTACACATTTTGAAACGAAACTATGATTCCTTCTTCCAAGGTATACAATTAATAATTGAATAAAAATTTATGTAAGAACTCACGTGGGTATGCATCGCCTCCAATTTATGCTCTATTTTAGGTATTCAAATGCATATATAACATTGGCCATAACTGTTAAGGCATAAAAATAAAAATGACAATTGAATACGTGTTTCTATATGCTAAAAAACAAATACTTACACATATTTGCATGATGTGTGTGTGTGTGTGTGTGTGTGTGTGTATAGATGATGAGGATGATAGATGAATTATGAAGCTTTTGGTATTATATGCCACTAAAGCGCTCGTAGTAAAAGTTATATATGCAATAATTTGTATCCAAGAGGAATATTTACAATTTGCACAGACCGAGGCGAATAAGAATTTAACTATGGCCTGGCCATTGTATTTGTAACTTTGTAATCGCACTCCCAAATCTTTGAGATCGGTTCCTGAAGTATACTAACTACTATGTAGTACATTATGGCTTATAGATTCTAGATAGATTCTATAAAAATTCCCTTGAGGTGGTCGGCCTAAGCCTAATTGCACAAGTTTTGCTCAACCATTTCGGCGAGTTGCGCTTCAAACTTGTCCTTTGTGAATCTAAAATTCGCTCGAAAGTACGTGTCTAACAGCAGTGCCTGACAGCGTCCCACGTTCATCATTGAGCGCCAGTCGGACGCATATTTGGGCTCTTTCAGCCGCTCCAGCGGGGCATGCACTGGCGGCAGCGGGCAGCTGTAGTGCTGCCCGTTGGCCGAGCGCAGCTTTACGGTCGACGTAGCTTGTCGGCACATGAGGCATTCGAATTTATGAAACAGCGATTGCTCCTCGTTCTGCCGCTCGTGGTTAATTTGATAGCGACGCGTGAGCAAATGATTCAGCAGCATGGGATTGTCAACAGGTTTGTCACGTTTCAGCTTGTGGTCCAGGTAGGATTTGTAGGCGGTTTCGTTGTTGTCCACCAGCTGCAGGTGGGCGGCCAGTGCGCCAGCATTGGCAAAATCGTCTATATAAATGGCAGATTTGTTTTGCGGCTGCCATTCCTGCAGAAACAAAACAGTTCAATTAATGCGAAACACTGTCGTCAATTCTAGTTTAGTAAACATACGCGTATGCTGGGCGAACCAAAGTAAATGGGTATGACGCCCATGATAAGTGGACGCCAATATTTTTCGGTTATATAATCATTGCAAATGCCATTCTCAATGGCAATCATAAATTTGTAGCGGGAGAGAAAGCGCAGCAAGGCATCCGAATATAAATTGTTGAGATAGTCCTTTTGAAGGCTAAAAGGAAATAACTCCATGTAAGTATGCAGTATTCAGTTAAGTTTCAGCTGATTGAGCTAATTTGAATATATTTAGCTCTCGCTCACCTCTCGGGCAAATCTCGATTGCGCAAACAACCGCCATACGAGTCCACGGGGATGTGCTGCATCAGCTCTCGCACATAATCCTCGCGCCCGGACATAGTATAGCAATCGGTTTGCAGGAAAACCACCGAGGCTAGACGCTCGTTAAACTGAATAACCTGCTTGGAATAGTGCGGAATATAGTAGTCCGTTTGGGTTAGATCGCTGGGATGCGGCAGATACTGTGTGGTCAGTGGCAAATTGCTGTGTCGACTGAATGTGGACGTGTTGTTGAAGTGCTGCAGAAATTCATGGTGCGGCACAAAGGGCACATTGCGCGGTGACTCCTCGTGCAGCAGACCCCACAGATGATGCGGGTGGCGTGGCATTGGAAAGTCGTGCGGTTTCATATTGGAGCCATAGAAGAGTATACCCTGTAAAGCAAGCAAGCCAAAACAAATGCGATAAACGAGAGCCGGACGTGAACTTCCGCAGCAGCCGCGCCTTCACTTACACGAGCTTCTTTCAATCGCTGGCGATTGTTGGTCACGCGGCACGATTCCAAGTTGCAGTAGCGCATCTCATCGTAGGCCCAATGCATATCATTTGTCCACCAGAGCAGCTCGGGCACAGCACCGCGAATGTCCTCCTTCTCCCGGGTTATGTACCAATACAACCAGCCGACGCTGCACAGCCAGGCGAGCGAGACCAGCAGCAACTTTAGGCGACGATTGCGCCACGGCCACATCGTTCATTTGCCGTAACCAGTTGAAGTCAGCTGAATCTGTAATTATCACCCACTGGATGCCGCACGGGGCATGCCCCAATTCAAATGAACGCGCGCGAGAACTGTGTGCCTTTGAAAATTTTCTGCAGGTTGTTTTTTCTTCTTGACTTCGACACGCGTTCAGTGCTGTAAAACGCAGCTACTTTATAAGTATTTGCGGTACGTTACGATATGCTTGATGCTCGCATTGGCATGTTAAACAGAGCCGACTGTGACAAGGGTTAGCATAATAACTCTTCACAATTGACGTGTTGATTGATAAGTCAAAAGAGCTGCACGTAGCTGCTTATTGAAGCCAATGATTATATTTGGCTAATCAATATGTTCCTTTTGCGGTCGCTTCGTGCGACGGCTGTATGTCATGCAAGCTGGAACGTGCACCGCCGCCGCCGCAAAAACACTTTACAACACTGGAGCACGTCATCATAATATTGTTCCATTTACATTTAGCTCAATTTTAGCATATATCAACAGAAAAGGCTTAAATTACAAAAATTATGCCGTTAACAGCTTGAAATTATTAAACGAACGCGCTAAAGATGGCCAGGCGCCAAAATGCAACGTAAACACCCAATGGACGGGTCGACAGGCAAAAACAAATATTGACATAACACGTCAACGTTTGCGGCGAGAATTCGGCAGAAATTTTTTTTTTATATATAAAACAATAAACTAGGCACTTAACAAGTTGGCACAACGCACAGCATGTGTTATGGCCACAGCGCAGCACAATACTACAACAACAACAACAACAACGGCCGCTGCTGCGACAGAGCATGTTTCGCCGGCGGAGCGAAAACAATCGGTCGCATCGGCTTCCAATTTTAACATAAACGCGCCCAGCTGGCAATCCTGCTACTATTGCACGCGGGAGCACTTCAAAAGCGTCGCGGAATTCGTCAAGTAAGTAGCCTCGGTTCAACTTGAGACAAATCTTTAAACTCCTAATCAACAGCCATTTGCGGAGCCGGCACTGCACGCGGGAGGGCGGCTCCTTTGTGTGCCGCTATGGTTTCAATGGAGTGTGTGCCTCGCTGCCGCTGGACGGCGTCTCGGATCGTGACTACGATGCACATGTCGCCAAGTATCATGTAAACCAGCAGACGCGCGAGCTGCCCCCGGAATGGGGCGTTTATTCGGCGGCACAGAATCTGCCGGCCGTGCTGAACGATCCGCAGCGTGGCAAGCAAAGCAATCTCTTCACCAAGAAGTGGGGCGAGCATTTTGTGGAGCGCGTGCACATACCAAGCACTCCACGTCTGCCGGACATAACGCACGCCGATTTCGCTGTCTATCTGGGCAGCATTGGCAAGCGCTATCGATGGCATGAGCGTCGTCAGCAGCAGCAGCAGCAACAATTGACGCCCACTACGGCTACGCCGGAGCATTTGGGTGGTGTGCCTGTGCCGGAGATCTTTTTGAAGTCGCAGCTGCAGCTTCATCATGCGGCGACATTTGCGCAAGTCTTTCCCAACTATATGCAGCCAGAGGCTGGCGAGGACAACGCCAGCTGCACTGTGCAGCGCCAGCAAACGGGCAGGCAGCTGCAGGAGCAGCTCTCCCATTATCTGGACATTGTGGAGGTGCGCATAGCGCAGCAGGTGGCACAAAAGTCGGCGGCCTTCTTTCATGCGATGACCACACAGCATGCCATACTGGCGGAAATGCAACAGGCCGCGGAGCAGGTGCGTCAGCTGCGTGCCGCTCTGGCCCAGCTGCATGGCAGCGCCGTTGTGGACAGCTTTCGCGTGATGCGCTTTGCGCAGCGCCGGCAGCACTATCATGCGACGCTGGACAAACTTCGACTGATGGCCACCGTGCACAAGACGCAACCAATGCTGCAGCTACTCCTGGGCACTCAGGACTATGTGGCCGCATTGGACTTAATAAGCACCACCCAGGAGATACTGGCCGCCGAGTTGTTGGGCGTGCACTGCTTTAAGCATCTGCCCATGCAGCTGGGCGAAATGGAGAAGCTCATTGACAAGATGCTGACCACGGAATTCGAGCGTTATGCCGCAACAGACTTGAATCGTCCGCTGACAGACGCCGATTTGGAGACGGATAGCGTCTGCGCGGAGGAGGACAAACTGGTGGCCATTGTGATGGGCCTGCTGCGCAAGCAGAACTTTGGCTTTGTCCAAAGCTATCAGCAGGAGGCCATTGCCACCATACGGGCGATCATTAAGCAGCTGCTTATCGAGCTGCTGTCGCGCGGAGATCACGAAATCTGCCTGACCGGCGCCGGCGAACAGTCGCTGGAGCTGACCCTGGCCGAATGGCTGGCCATGCTGCAGCGTGCCAGCCATGCTCTGGTCGCCGTCCTGGAGCGCATTAAGGCGGTCGTCTCGATAATGCAGCAAACAGCTGACGCCGCCGCCGGCGGCAGCAGTCCGCATGAGCATGCCGTCAATCTGATCGACTCGGAGGCCTTTCTGAGCGCTGCGCATCACGAGCTGCTCAGCGCCCAGCTGCAACAGCTACTCCAGGCTGTCTGCCATTATTGTCATGAGCGTTGCGCCAACATTGTCTCGCCGCAAAGCCTAGAACGCTGTGCGGCCACCGAGCAGGAGCTGCTCCAACTGACGCAGGTGGTGCAGGAGTTCTGTGAGGCCACCCAGAGCATATGCAATGCGCCCAGCGTGCCGCTTCAGCTGGCGCTCAAGGTGCAGGCATCACGTTACGCACAACGCTTTCATGCGGAGCGAAAGCAAAAGCTGGCGCTGCTCCTCGATCAGGAACGCTGGCGTCAGGTGGACATACCACATGAATTCCAGCGCATTATCGAACGCATGTCGGCTGGCGACTATGCCAAACAGGCGCCACTCGACGGCAGTCTGGTGACCAACAATGGCATCGACGTGAGCGGCAATCCTGTGCTGCTCCTCGAGGGCAAACAGCCCTTTGCACTGGTAGGCGTGGCGCTTCTGCTCATCCAAATGCTGTACGAGTATGGCGGAAGTGCGCACCGCCTGCCGCTACTTGCCAGCTATCATGCACGGAATGTTGTGGACCTGTTGCGCTGCTTCAATTCGCGCAGCTGCCAGCTGATCATTGGCGCCGGAGCGATGCGCGTGGCCGGCCTGAAGACCATAACAAGCACCAATTTGGCGCTGGTGTCGCGTGCCCTGCAGCTGGTGCTGTATTTGCTGCCGCGTCTGCGTGAGCATTTCGAGAGCATGAGCGGATACGAGGCCATCGAGCGGGACTATCAGGGTCATATCAAGGAGATCGAGCACAAGATTCATGGCATTGTCTCGGAGCGTATTACCGCACAGTTGGAGGCTTGGGATGCACGTCCGCCGATACCATCGCAAACATTTCGCCACATCTCACGGCATTTGGTTAAGCTGCACGAGGCCATAGCGGGCGTGCTGCCGGAACCGCAAATACACGAAATCTATGGTGTGGTCCATCGCAATTTCAAGGACAAGCTGCGGGAGCAACTGCTCAAGCTGAATATCTATAATAATGGTGGGCCGCAGCACGGCGTCGTCACCTCCGAGCTGACCTTCTATATGGAGACATTGCGTACGCTGAAGGCTCTGCCCGCCAATCAGCTGGACAATGGCATTCTCGAGCACATTTGGCTCTACTGAGCGCGGTATTATTCCAATTGTAGTGGATTTTTAAAATCCATCTAACAATCCAATGAAGTCTCTGTTGTTGTTCCCCCTCCTCGAGTCCTTTGTTGTGTGCCGTCCGCTCCGCTCTTTGTTTTTTATTTATGTAAGCCTATTTTCTGTATATTTCCAGTATGAAATTTGTTTGCAAATCCTTTGTTTATCCTCTGACCTAACATTAACATTTAAGCGAAAAGTCAAGACATTTGATTTAAGCCAAGTCCATAACTAATCAAATACAATGGCATTACATATAATACGGAACTTGCTATTACTTTATGAAGTTGGGAAAGGGCTCGAAAACTAAAGACAGTCGGGTTAGATTTAGATATTGAAACCTTCCACACAATTGAGGACATATATGTTCTTTTTTTAAAATCAAATAATATGGTTGGGTTACCCTAAGTAAAAATATCTTAAGTGGCCCTTTTCCTATTTTTATAAATTAGAAGAAAGTATTCGGACTACCTAAAGATATTTTTTATCTACGGCAAACTTTTTCTTCTATTTAGAAACATTAAATATAAAGTGAAAAATGAAGCCAGGATGCCTTAGGTAAATTCTCTAATGGACATATGGATATTTTTTATAATCTTCGTTAACATTTTCTAAAGCAAAAAGTAGTCGGGCTTGCTTAGATGAACTACACTTGCAGGCATATACTTAGTTATATTCTAACTAAAGGTCATCCAATTATATGCTTATAAAATGTTTCCTAATTAAAAATGTGCTGTCCTGATCATTTTTTATCTGAGGCAACCAAACTCTTCTCTTATTTAGATAAATTTTGTAAGTGGGATAAGGTAGTCGGGTTCCGTAGGTAAAATTCTCTTTAGATTTGGATACCAACTACTTTTGTAAAATTATATCAATATGAAATTTAAAAATATGAAAACATATTCAGGCAGTTATTGAAAAAATGCCATTGAAATGAGGATATATTATATTGCGATTTCAAGCAATCAATGTTAATCTTGGGAAACAGAAGATACAAATAGAATTATCATTAACATCAAAGCTTATAGCTGGTCAGCATTAATCTACAGATATAATCCTCTTTATAAAACTACGTTGAAAATCAGCAGAAAAAACAAAGCTTGTCGTTGAATGATTTCTAACTGAAATTTCTCAAGTTAAGCTGGATTGCAGTTGAATAAATAAAAATAGAGAGAGAATTCAGCTAATCAAGAAGTTTGGTCAGAAACAATACAAATTTTAATTCTATATACATATGTTGACAAACTTTAGACTTGGTTTTAACCACAAATATTTCGTACTCCGGACAATATTTTTATAGCTTAAGCACTAAACATGATTTGACGAAGGCGGAAATTCCCTAAAACTCCTTCTCGAAGTCCGACATAAATATGTTTGCTGGCAGCCTGGCCTCAAATATATCAGCTAAATTATTCTCAGATTCGTGTATATTATTATATTCCCGAGGCTTCAGCGCGTAAATATCAGCATCCAGATCCGGATAATCGGGCACATCGTAAACAGTTTCCTCCTCTGCTGTGTCCAGTGAATTGTTCAGTAGCTTTGCTATTAAATCCTCATTTAGCATTGGTTCCAAGCACTCTCGAGATATGGCTAAAAAGGCGAATAGCGTATGAATGATGACGATTTGAATTCGATGTCAAGCTGAAATCCAGCAAGCGGATTCCAGGGTATTTAATGTACGACATGAGGTCATTTTGTAAAGATGTGACTTCCTGTTATCTAAAGCTTTTTAAAGGTAAGCTAAGAAGCGTAGACTATTTACTTCATCCTGAACTTGAGTTCGACTTTATTTTTATTTATTGTCGTCAATAAGGTCAGAACTGTTCTGGGCTTCATTAAGAGATGGTCCAAGCAGTTTGACAATCCTTTCCTATCCAAAATCCTTCTATGCTCGAGTTTGGTTAAGTACTCAATTTATCAAGACATAACTGAATCTAGAAACAATGCCTGATTATTAACTTTCCTGGTGCTCCTGGTGTCCGGCTGATATCCTATTCCAGTTGATTTCTGCTGATCAATCTTTCCTCAATTAATAATCGTAGAGTTATGTTTGTTGTAATATTTATCAGCCTATTAAATAGTTTAGCCTCTGTCCCAATTAGCCTCACACTTATTAAAGACTTGCATGAACCGGTTCGGGTTCTGAGCATTACAGGGTATCTTGCACGCCGTTCTCCCGTTCTCAGTGCTACCGACTGCCGAAAACAAGCTGAATCCAATGTTAAAAAACAGCTAAATCAGCCTTCCAAGCACATAAACCAAAAATAGCTAAATCAATAACTGACTAGTGAAAAACGGCCAAATACAGCTAGAAAATGGCTGAATTGCCAACACTGCTTTGCTAAATTCTGTTAGTTCTAGGACAACTCTGTTTTGTGTTATGTAATATTGCAATTCTGACAATTTTGAAGGGCAAACTCACGTTTCTGGCAGTTTTGCATGCATTTCGCAGTAGGAAAATCCATATAGTCGAATAGATCAAATCCATTGGCGGGATCGGCAGATTTGGCATAGAGATCATTGGCAACATTCACTTGTGGCGCCTTGAAGTGCGCCTCCAACAGCTGCGGCGAGTCCTTGTCGTGCTGCCTGCTGCGATGTTGCTTCTGCAGCGTCTCCTTGCACAGCGACAATTTTGGCGCGCAGCTCAGGGGCCATTTTGTGTTGGCGCCTTTAAATGGCGTTAGATTCGGTTTGTTGTACATTACGTTGTCCAGTTTGCTTAGGACGCTCTTTTTGCCCGATTGCTGCAGCGTATTGTCGCCCATGGGCTTGCGGGCCGATCTGGGCAGCACTGCGCGCCAAGCAAGAAATTAAATAGTTTGTATTGTTTAAAATAATAACAAATGCAGTTGGTGCCAATCGCTTACTGTGTGCACCAGCATTTTCCTCGTCCATCCAAATTTGTGCCATCTTGTAATTCGTTGAAGTTTAATTGGCAATAATTTTGTTAAAACAGCACAAGCGTTTAGTTTATTATTTTTAATTATTAAAATGCAACGCCAAGCTGCTCGAAGTTTTTGTTTAATACTAACAGAGTTGTTCGACAGTTGTAGTGTGACCGCAGGCGGGTTCATGAAAATTACCAAAATAATTCAAGCCAAACATGCCGCCAACGGCATAAGAATTTGCCCTGAAAGATCACTTATTGTAGCTTTAATTAATGCCCATAAAGCTCTAGAGCTTGTTTTAAACTTATACAAAAATGAATTTCATCCTAAGCACCCATTTTATTATTAAAGACTATTGCAAACAGCAGACAATATAATTTCGATAGGCGACAGCTGTAATGCTCTCCAACATAACAGTGTGGTAACTTGCTGTTAAACTCAAAAAGGCAACTGTTCAATAACATAGATGGAGGGTAAACTGCTTGTGTTCTTCTTTCGCTCTTGAGTTCAAAAAAGACCATTGAACGGGTAGGTCGTGCGTCGGTGCGGAAAAAATCTCGGAAAAAAGCCGTGGGTGATTCGTCGTTGCGTCGCGCGTGAGTGTGTGTGTGTGCATGTGTTGGCTTAACAAATTAATAAAAGCGCTAAATAGAATCCAATAATATGAATGTGCAACGGTTATCGTAGCAATTGTTGTGCTTGCAACTCACAAAAATTTCACAATAGCGCGACAGCCGGAGAGCGTGAGTGCCAATTGCAAGACAAAATGGCTGCATTTCAACGCATTTAATGCGCGCACAAAAACAGCAACAACAGAAGAGAACAACATACACAAAGCATAAGCAAACATGTAAGTATGCAAGTGTGAGTGTACATGTGTGTAAAAATATGTGCGTTGGTGTGTGTGTGTGTGTGTGTTGTGAGAAGCAGGCAATGAGAACCGCGGCAAAACAACATTTAATTAGCACCACAAAACTGTCAAATGCATATGAAATATGAATAAACCAAATACTGGAATAAAGCCAAACATTTTAATAAATATATTTGTTTATAGCGGTTGCTATTTATGTGTTATTGTGTTGATTTCCTTGTTTGTTTATGCCGCCGCATCAACAATAACAAAATACAAGCGCAATCAACAATAACATTAAAATTCTATGCAATTGCAGTGAGTGTGCGCTCTCTCGTTTACCTGCTCTCACGCTTATTTGTTTGAGTTTTTCCTTTGTGCGCGCGCTCAGTCAGTTATGTTGAGTGCGTTTTGAGTTGAGTTTGTGAGTGATTTATTTTCAAGTATTTATGCTTAGCATTTCGGCTTGTGTGTTTTATGAAGAGGGGGAGGGGGAAAACGCTTGTGTGCATTATTTTAATTCAATACGAATTTAAAAAATATTTAAACAGCCGCAAATAATATAAATATAAATACATGTGGATCTGAGTGTGTGTGAACAAGATTTTAAAGGCTCACTGCTTATGTTGTCGGTCTCTTTCCCGCAACGCGCTTAGTCGCCGACTTGAGACCAACACGAACAACAAGAACAACATAAATACTCGAAATACACTCACGCAAGCAACAGCTGCTGCATTCTCATTGCTCCCCACTTACTTCTTTCTGTTCGTCTTATTTTACAGCACAATAACAGCGCCTGGCAAAAACAACACAACAACAACAACACCGCTAATAATTTGAAATTGTGAATTTCGTTTTGGACGCGTTGCGAAATTTTTTTCATACGGTTTTTCGGTTTGTTTTCATTTATGTTTTACGCGCAAATATAAAAGCAAAAAGTGAAAAGTAATGCATAAAAATCGTAAATCATAATACACATAAATTGGCAGTGTACGTGACGGGTGTTAAAATATAATCGTCTTAAATAAAGAATCATAAAAATAAAATAGTAAAAATATAATAATAATAAAGTGGGCGCTCCGTCGTGCGTGCAAAAAGTGTTCGTACAATTTTATGGCCAATGTCTGTGCGTGTGTGCGTGTGTGCGAAATATTAATAGTAAATTTTAAATGGAAAATAGTTGCAGTTAGTTAAGATTCGGCAAAACGATCAAAAAATTAATATATATATATAAAAAAAAAACCTACTGCCAATACTTAAAACAAGTAAAAACTTAAGGATTTCACAGCTTTCGACACGTTGGATCCCATTTGCGTATAATGTCATCAACATGTGGATTAAATATGGTTTTCATGTCGATCATTTTCATTATCATCGTAAATGGTAAGTGCTGCCAAACTAATTGGAATTTATAAGTGCTGCCAATTACGGCAAAAACTCGCAAAACACCGTTATGCGAGTTTTAAATGTTTATAAAAATTATAGCTATTATTATTGTTATTCCTGTCAAATATCAATAAATTCGAACTGAATTGGAATCTTTTATTCCAATATCCCATTAAAAAAATTTCTATTTGTATTATTTAGATAAAAAATTGATCAAAATTAGGCCAATTATTTGTTATTTTATAGGACATTTAAACATTTTAATTATTTTTATATTAAAAAAAAAATCTCTTTAAAATCTCTCTTTAATTTGTTATCGAGTGCTCCCTTTGCTATTATAAATAATATATACGTTCAGAGTATTAGTGTTATGTCTATAAATGATTGAATTATGTTTATAATATTTAGCCCAGTTTAACACTTGCTAATATTTCTACCCTAACACATTATATTGTAAAGCTTGTAGTAGATACTTAAGTATTAGATCTAACCGATATATATATCGATGAGCTAGTTCTATCGATGCTCAATATCAATATCAATCAATATTAGATGCCTCGAACTTTAAATACTTTTGAGTTGTTTTTATCCTTCACCAAAATTCCCTATAATTGAAATTTTAATTTAAATTTTATAGCATAGTCGATAAATCGATATAATTATCGATTTAGCGATAATTTGAAGATCGCAGCTGTGCGATATCATTTTAGGTCGTCTCAAACTGTTTCAAGTTGTCGTCCAAAAAGATTTCCGCATTTACAACTCTTGCATGACTCAAAGCGTTGCTTAAAGTCCATTTTGTGTGAATTTCAGTTTCACACAGTTTGCGCTTTGTTAGCTGGAATATATACTATATATACTATGTATAGGTATATGAATATTTATTAGCTGGTGATCACAACTGGTTCCTATTGTCAAGACCTTGACACCTGCGGGCCGAACAAAACGTATCCATTGTTTCAACTCAAAGAGTTTCAAAGCATTGTCGAGCACGTTTTCAAAGTTGTAAATTTTGTTGCTGCAACAAAGTTCTGTGACTCGAAAACAAACTTGTTCTGTTTAATACTCTTTTTGTATTTAAGAATACTAAAACTGAAATTAGGAAAATTGTAAATAAAAGAATCTTATTCGGGGAAAATCAATGGGCGTAGTTCGGACTTTTAAAGATGGCCAAAATAACATGTATATGAGGCTTATGCAGTATGATAGAGTCAAAGATACCCAACAAATATACAAACTTGTAAGTCAATAAATGCTTGCCCACTCAAAAAGGCGAGCTCAGTCCACAAAGAATTCTCGACATATTGCTTAATATAACAATATAAAATACAAGCATACACTTTTAACACTCGTGAATAAAAATGCGAATTAAATTCAATAGAGCTCCACCGACATAAACCATATGGGCGAACCCCAATAATTCCAACCATAAATCTCTTCTGGCGCGCACACACACACACAAATAAGTTAAAGCGATTAAATGCAGTCGCCATTTGTGAAAAAGGAAGAATAAAGGACAATGGCAAATAATTAGGAAAGTGGGTACTAAAATTATAAGAGTACCGAAAAGGCGACGCCCACACACCATCCCACCCCACATTTCCCCTTATTTTCATCGTGTGCGTAATTATTTTTGTTGCACTGTGCGCTGCTTTTATGAAAATGTTAACTTAATTTCTGCATGATTGAGCATTTATTTCAATGTTATTGTCTATGGGTCTTGGGCATTCGTAACGCCCTCAGTTCCACAGCCCCCGAAATTCTATCTGTATTGTTGTGCCTTTTGTGTAGCTGTAATTGTTGTGCACAGTCAAGTGGTAATGGTTGGAGGGGAAATTATAGAAGTGTATATATATACATATATATATACATATATATATATAGATATATAGATATATAGATATATAGATATATAGATATACATATATATAGATATATAGATATTGATATATATAGATATATAGATATTGATATAGATATAGATATAGATATAGATATAGATATAGATATAGATATAGATATAGATATAGATATAGATATAGATATAGATATAGATATAGATATAGATATAGATATAGATATAGATATAGATATAGATATAGATATAGATATAGATATAGATATAGATATAGATATAGATATAGATATAGATATAGATATAGATATAGATATAGATATAGATATAGATATAGATATAGATATAGATATAGATATAGATATAGATATAGATATAGATATAGATATAGATATAGATATAGATAGATATAGATATAGATATAGATATAGATATAGATATAGATATAGATATAGATATAGATATAGATATAGATATAGATATAGATATAGATATAGATATAGATATAGATATAGATATAGATATAGATATAGATTTCTGAAACAATTCAGTCTCATATAAAATACTAAACAAATTAGATAGTATGGCAATTGAAAGGCACTTGCCTTAATTTGTTGGTTTAAGCGTTACAAAACACGGGCGGGCAGCTCTTGGCCGAATAGCAACAACAACAGCCACCACAACTACTCAGCTAATTAGCAGAGTGAAGCAACCAAGACAACAACAACAACAGAGACAACAACAACAACAACGGAGACAACAACATTAACAATAAACCAAGTGGAAACCGGTTAATCCACTCGTTGTTGCCGGCTAATCTAAAAAAAGAAGAAGAAAAAAACAACATAAAACACCAAAAGAAAATTTCGCATTGTGTACGAAATGTTTTTAGTTGGATCGAACGCAAGGGTCAACGTCTTGAATATCGACGGCGTTCGTAGTAAACAAACAGAGCAACATATCTATGCATATGGGTGTAGCGCCAACAATCACAATGCGCTGAGCAACAGTTACAGATACAAAATGTTCATACAGACACAGATACAGATACAAAGATACATACGTCCGGCAGCTTGGTCTTTGGCTCACACGCTCCGCTTATCTGGCAACTGGCTTCGTCTTCGACTGCGGTTATTTGCCCCGCTGCTTCTGCCTCAGTCTTGACCAAGTGACCGGCCACTGCGGAAGCGCAACAACTACAAACAGCAAGAGCAACAGTTTCAGATATAGATACATATACAGATACATATACAGATACAGATACTGATACACAGATACAGATACAGATAGAGACGGCAGCAACTACTAAGCGCAAATACTCGTTTTACTTATCGGCCTGGCTTCAAGTTTTTTTGGTGGCACTTTTTGCTGTCGCTTTATTCCTTCTTTTCGTTATTTCTCTCTGATTTTGTTTTTGTCGCTCATTTCTGAAATGAAGTTTTCTATTGTCCATCATGAATTATTCTGCATCATTTGCTAATTGATGACGAAACATGGAAAATTTAACAATCGAAACTATTATTATTAACTCATGATTATTTATTTATTACTCACAAATCCTGCGCTTTATACACTTTGCACAGACTTTTTGAGTAAAACTCATCAAAACAAACAAAGCAATTTTATTTGACTTTTTTGAGAACCAATTCTTAAGGTGTTTGTCTTTGGAATTATAAACAACAACAATCAACCATTTCACCAGAAATTGAAATGAAAGACAACTTTTTATTTCTTTTCATTTTGCTGCTCTTTGTGCGGGTTGAGTCAGTAAATAATCAAAAAAAAAATACTCAAACAGCTTGCAAAACATTTGGAGAGACCATAAAAAAGCTGAAGAAACGCTTTAAAAGAGAACATGGAGCAGATATTAAAATGGACACGAGTGCCAGCACCGGGAATAATGTTAGGGAACTGACTGAAAAATTGAAGATGAATAAATTGGCGAGAAGACAAGAGTATGAAAAGTCGATTCAAATCAAAGAACTTCAGATGAGCTTGTAATCGGTCTTAGCTTATTTCTAATGAAAGAAATGGCATTCATTTATGTGCACTCGTTTATTGATTCATTGGAATAAAAAGCAAAAAGTATTTTATTTGTATAACGCATGCAAACCAATTGCTGTAAACGATTTCATTTATTAATAACAAAACTCTATTTGCTCTTGTTAATTACAACAAAAAAATATAAATAAATAAAAAAAAATTTGAGCACATTTTGTTGTAATCAAACGCCTGAATACATAAATACACAAGTGACATAAATTATATACAATTTTTTTTTCTTTTTAGTTCGCATAAATTAAGCGAAGCAAAAACAAAGCAAAAGCGAATTTTCATGTAATCGCAGTTTATTTTTTTTTCAGACTCGTGGGAAATCAAACTTGAATGAATTGTACAAATAGAATTAATTTTTTATGAGCTCAGATTAAAGTTCAATGACTAATTGAGGTATTACAAATCGAAGGCCTAGTACGCTGTTAAATGCGAACAAACTTTTATTCGAACACAAAATTCAACAAGCTTTTTACATGATAATCCAATTTATAGTTTATAAATAAAAAGTAAAATACATTGTTGAATAGAAAAAAAACATGTCTATCTGACTTTTTATATATTTATTAAAAGAACATTTTTTATTTACAATCATAATAAACATTGAATGTAGATTTAAAAATAGATTCTTCTTTTTCACAAGGAATTGAAAATCTTAGTTTTTCGGGAACTTCTCATTTGTTAATAACACAAAATATATATCCAATAAGAGCTTGAATTTTAATCATGTTTTGTACATTATAGCATTATTTATATTTTCTGATATTTCGTTTATTATTTTGCTTGATTGCTGCGTACTAATCTTGGGATATAGATAGCAAGCTTGAGTCATTGATAAAATCAATAGAAATAACATGAAAAACTGAACTGTAGTTGAAATTTTGATTAGAAAGTCAACGAATTGGCATTGCCAATGCGTCATGCAATTATACATACAGCTTATACACTAATTGCCATAAGTATACACACACACACACACAGGCGATTATAAGTGCTGCCGTTTTAAATGTGGCAAACCGCAGGGAAAATCTCGAAGTGCAGCTGCCGTTTCATCATTTTTTTTTATTGATAAGCAGCTGGTGAATTGCGT